ACGAAGCGAGTCAAAAGGATGTAAGCGGTAAGGGTGGAGGTGGGAGGTAGTCGCCGCCTTTACTTGCAAATTCACGTGTTACGGGGCCGCCGTGGCCTGTTTCAAAAGGACAGTAGGACTTCACCGGTTCGTGGGTCAATACCATAACATGCAGTCAGGCCAGAGTGTATGTATTAATTAGATATAAATAAAGACGTTAACTTGACTCCTTACACAGGGCTTGGGAAAGGTTGCTATAGCTGCAGTTAATCCAGGGCAGTAATGAGGCTCCTAAAGCTGTGAAGTTTGTCTTCTTCACCCTCATTTACTTTGAAGAAATAGGCCTTGAGAATTGAAAGCATGCCTTTGAGCCACCTGCTGTCATTTTCAAAATTCTGTATTACTTAATCAGAGGGATAAAGCTGTACTGCTTCTGAGCAGAGGCTCAGATGGAGCCATTTTGGTTGTCATTTGGGAAAACTAGCTACTGCATTCCTCTCCTCCATGCGGTTGCTCAGCAGCTCCTCCACTGCCTTCCTTCTGGAGAAGTCAAAGCCTAAAAATAATGTCCTATTTGTTCTTGTAGAGCACCATGAAGGGCAAATGTAGGGGGGAGGAACAGGAAGACTATCGCCTTGCATTTATTATGTTTCACCATTTAAACAGGACTATAGCTTGTGATTAACAGCCTGTTCCAGTAGTGCCCACAGTATGCTAAAGACTTTTCCAGCAGGAAGGAATAAAGAATCCCTGTCCTGGAAATTTTGTTCACAGTTGAAGAACATTTTGTTTTATGAGAACACATTTTGAAAGATCATAACCAATTATGTCAACAGAAACAGAGACAGCACTATTCTAAAAGACACAGGATAAAGTAAAAAGACATTAAAAGCAGAAGTAGATTCACTGCAGTACCCTAGTGTTGCCTTGAAGCTGAAGGCAGTTGTGTTGACCCTGTACAGCTGTCATTTGCAATGGTTCCCAGACTTGGGGGCTAGTGAACACTTTCCTGAGCCGAGGTCAGCGTATGCAATCAAGCCCAATAGCCTTGTGTCTGTTGTACAAACACCCACAATCATGGTTAAAGCTGGAGGAATTTTGGAAGTACAATTTTCTTTTACGCAATCACTGTTTGATTTTACGCTCTTAGTATAAGAAATGAAAACAAATTCTGTTTTTCTGCAGTTTCCCATGTCTACATTGCTAAGGCATGTTTACTCCTAGATAAAAAGTTTTATTTCCAAAGACCTCTTCATTGTTTTTTGAAAACAGAATGGTTGTGAAGAGTGGTAATATAGCTACCATTGTGACACAAAAACGTTAAAGCTCTTGACGATTTTTTGCAACTACAGAGTAAATGTTTTTTTAAAAAAATCAGATTTTAACTTTTTGTCAACAAGAGACATAAAGATGCCTGCTATAATGGGTCACTGCTCTTTGCACTGTGTCTCTCTGTATTAATGCTTAAAACTGCATGATACTCCTATAAGTGTGTTCTATTTTGGTAATTTAATGCTACAGTGCAGTTTGTAATACAGTATATTCAGTTCCTCCCATTGCACTGACATTCAAGTATGAATCAGGACTCTTGGATGAAAGCAAAGTTTTCCATATTCTCTTGTTCCCTGTTTTTTTCACTGTGGTTTGGGTCTAACAACACAGTTTTAAAGTCAAAGTAGTACATGAAAAGCACATTTAGTTGCAGAGGGAAAGTATATTGACATGCAGATCATTGTTTAAACATATATCCTAATAAGAAAAAAAAAATGGAGCAACTGGAACAAAACTGTTAAGTAACTACCTAAATAACATACAACATTGCTTGGTAACCTGATTGCTGCTGCACACAGAAATCCAAATATTGGTACTTGGTGGTGATGGGTAAAATAAATTGATTTAGCACAACTGTATAAATCTTGACTCAGCCTCCCTTATGCCCAGATAAGCAATGTTAGCGTGAATGAAAATAGAGCCAGTGTAGATGGAGTATAGCTCAGCAATTCTCTGCGCTCAGCTGTTACTTTTAATATGGTCACTCAATCATAATCTAATCCAAGGGAAAAGACTTGAAGGTCCTTCACCCTAATTAATTTTACATTTGGAATTACCCTGGAAAGCCCATTCACATCAGGTTGCAGGTTCTCACAGTGTACAGGACTAAGACTGAAAAGGGAAATGTGCAGCCCCTTTTTTAGCTTTGCTCACAGCTTCACAGCTTTTATTTGAAAATACAGTCTGAAGGGGTGGGGGGATTTGGGGCTTGGGGTGGGTTCTTTTTTCTTTTTCTGCCTTTTTGATGCGGTACTGTTTTAGGCAGCATAGTGTGTAGGTGCAGAAATTGTGAGACTGCCTGCATGGTTAGTGGAGAGAAGTTTCTTCAGAACGTTAGTCAACATGCTTCAGTGCAGGCACCAGCCATGATTCACTTTCTAGAGGAACAGTCTCACTTGTAGTTAAGTCTAATGGAGGAATGCGGCCTCTAAGATCTAAATTAGGTACCTAAAATCAAAGAGTGTGAAAGTACTTGTGGATGTTCAGTTAGGCATCTGGTATTACTGAAAAGGCTAGTAAAACATTTTAAATTAGAAAAATAATTGCATGGGTATTTATACTAATATGTGACTTCACAGGTAACAATGAAAAGGTGCAGACAGTATGTACGATGAAGCAGGAATAAGGATGAGGAGGAATTTCACCTAGTTCTAGGTTGCTTTGATTTTCTTACGTTGTGTGTGTAGATGAGGTGTAACGAACAGTTCCGTTTTCCCTGCATGAGCACATCGGTGGCAGTGTATAACTAAGGGAAAGGGAACACGTTTTAGGGGGAAAATGGAGCACCCAGTTTTGGCTTTTTGAGCTAAATCACTTTTCTTTCTTGCAAGTTGGAAATTAATTGTCTCTGTAAAGTAACTTGATATTTGAGATCCATTAGCTACTTATTCTCTTAAGTCGGTTTATAAAGGTTGTTTCAATTTCACACCACCTGTCGGGAGCTTTTGTCTCTTGTAATTTTCATGTAGTTGCTTTTTATTAATGGCAGAATTGTACTGATTATTATGTTATCCAGGTAGCACACTGGTGTTTCCAATCTTGATTTTTAACTTTTTTTAAAGCCTTTTTGATCTTCTTTTAACACTGATACTGCTGAAGAGAAGTCCCTTGTTATGTATTATTAATAAGCTTGTAGCACACACAGCATGTTCCCTTTATGGCACTGTGCCTATTCAATATGTTTTGCAGGCAGCTGTTTCCTTAGATTGTCTATTCTCAGTGCAGCTTTGAGATTATAATGCTAAGACATATGTTTTTATAGCTTACTTCTTCTCTTCAGAAACTCAGTCTACTTGGGTGCGCTTACAAGTTAGCTTACACGGCACTTGTTACCTGGTTCCAACATGTATTGTTGAAAAACATACCTATGTGTCACTCATGCCTCAGAGCACAGAACAGATTTTGTCTTTGCATTCATGTCAACTCCATATATTTGTGCTTATACTCTTGCTTCTTGAAAATGGAGGCAACCGCATAGGACTGATTTAGTGGATAAGCATCTGGCATATGCAAGCCAATTACACAAGGGACTTCTTAAAATCCTACTTCCCAAACATAGAAGGTAGAACCAAACTAATTGTCTGCCCATTCTCTGCAGATCACAAACAAGGCAGAATGCTAAAACAATTACAAGATCATAAACATGCTGAGCAAGGCCTCTTGCATAAGTAAATTGGTAGTA